GTGAGGACTCGACATTCAGAGCCTCCAGAACTTACGGAGTTATGATCCGGTCACCTTGCTGAAAGAGCTACGAAATCTCCATTTACGCTGGTCGCACGCTTCTGAACCGAAGATGCGCGCGGTTCTGTCGCGCGTAGGAGTCGATGTTGCACGACAAAGCATGATGCAAAAAGGTGTAGTAGCTCCAGGATGTGAGTGCAGAGCCTGGGAGAAACCAAGCAATATTGTCCTGTCTCCCATAAGTTCCCCTGGCAAGTTTAACTCTAAGAAGTCGAGTGTGACTTGATGTTCTACAAGCAACATGCCGCGTTTCATCATCGACCGGTGCATTCGTTGGGCTGCAGGCCAAGAGATTGCCGACATGACGATGCATGCGAGATTGGACGCCCGTCACAACTGCTGGATGCAGCACGGTCTAGCTGCAGTGCTGTATTCCGACGGCGATGGCTCTCTGAACAATGATACTGCCAAATCCGTCTTGAAGGCCAAGGGCACACCTGTTCGCATTCGTGCTCGAGGTCAGCATGCCACTACCAGTGGAGCACGCAGCGGGATTCTCAGGCACACTTTACACGGTATGGAAGAAAGATTTAGAACGGCAGAACATCACATTGGTTTCTACTCGTTTACTACACCAAGGCCGCTTTGTCTGCAATGCTTTTACGTTTAATAACGGGGTATCTCCATGCGAAGCACTGCGTGGGCGACAACCGGCCTGCCTACCAGACCGGTACTGGACCACCAACAGGGGGCGGAAACGTCTGATCATAACCGAGAACAGAGAATCAGTGAAATAAGCTCTGAGGCCATTACACAAGCCATTGCAGTAGCCAAAACCAACAGATCCCCATGCACAAAGACGGCAGCAGCGGGACACTGCAACTATCAGCCAGGGGATCTCGTGGACTACCACCGCCCGACCACTGCCAAGGACGATTGGGGTGGATGGAACGAACCGCGCCCCATCGCCCGTAACGTTTTGACCGTGGTCAGGCAGAAGCGCAGTTCGGCGGTCGGGAAGTCTCGGTGCAATGCTCAGACTTACGACGCCCATTATATATTGATGTATGAATGGTCCGCGAGGTTGGCTCGTCGAAAGATTGCCCGCGGGGGGACCTGCCATGGTCTTTGGCTACCTGCCGACCAAGCAGAGGAACTCGCTGATGCCTGCAGCGAGTCGGCCCCCGCCCAGAGTAGATTTAGCCTTGGAGTTCTTCATTGGAAACTGCTCCAGGACAGAAACGTTGTAACTCTTCGGTCGGCTGAAAGAATCCACGGGCCATTGGCGGCGCCCTGCGCTGACGGCTGCGCCCTGGCACGCGACGCGGCGGGCGCGCCAGCGTCGGGCGGCCGCGCCCAGCAGGGGCAGCATGGGCCTCCAGCGCCGGCCGCAGTTGATGGCAGGCCACCGACGATCGCTGAAGAATCAGAAACGGATCTGGAAACACACATCATGAACGCGTGGCATGTAAAGGAAGAGGAAATGCTGGATACCCCTTTGTGGGAGCCCCTGTACTCCGTGCCCGCCGAAATGGTCACCGACAACCACGTGCTCGCGGCTGTGGCCAGCGCAGTGAATGGGCACTCGCGAGAAGTAGGTTATTTTCGGAACCATGACGCCGACGAAACCTTTCTGGTACCTCGGACCACCAAATGCGACGAGACTTACGTCCACGATTCGAACGACCACGGTCAGTATGTTAAGTCATGTTGTGCTGCTGACTTGGCTGTGGTTTTCAGACGAGCAACAATGCGAGTCGCTACGCATCGACCATGCCACCGCAACGCGCGTGTATGTCTCAGCCGCAGGTAAAAGAGCTGCGGCTGTCAAAGAAGACGACCTCAGGACGAAGGCAGCAATGCGCGCCAACCCGACGCAGATTTCCAACGCGTTGCACACTGAACTCAAACTATCGCATGATAAAACAGGCTTCACGATGCAAGGCATCAAGCATGCCGCTTGTCTCATGACCTCTAGATACGCGCGCAAGTAAAAGTTTGTCAAAAACGGCAATGGCGAAATGGAAAGAACAAGGCGACTGGGCCTGGTCCTTCGCTGCTTCATGGATGTCGAACGATCGATGGAGAAAGCTTCTCAGGCACGCCTCGTCGAGCAAGCCAGAGATCGCTCGCCAGCGCGGCCGCGTGCAAGAAACAATGGATCATAGCATCCATGGACATCGATACGGCTTGATTGAAAAGTCTGACCAGTCTCGAGTTGGCAGAAGCCGTTGGATAGGGAGAGAGAGAGAGAGAGAGAGAGAGAGAGAGAGAGAGAGAGAGAGAGAGAAAAAAACAAGAGAGAGAGAGAGAGAGAGAGCGCATGGTTTGCTTTGCTCTTCCACCCGGATCAGCCTCGGTGCTACGCGCATTGCCGGGCTTGACGAGTCAAAGCACTGTCGCCAGTGCCCTCGGCCAGGCACAGGCGCCACAGACGCCCCCGTGGCATTCTCACTGAAGCTCAGAACCATCGCGCCAGGATTGGGGCTAAATAGGACTTACGTCATACGGTGAAGAAGTTAACTTTCTGACGGCCAAGCACGTCAATGACATAAACATGAAAGGAATGGGGGGCGCTAGTGACAAGTGCGTCAAATGTGTAGAAGGTACGTCGGCGCGTGTGATCTGAGCAAACATTGCTGCGCCAATTGCGCCGCGCGATTCACTGAGACCGAGGGCGGCCGCGCCCGGCTAGATCAGGATGAACACATCCAAGCAGCTTCGCCCAATACATTATCCAGAACTTACGGGCGCTGTAGCGGAAGAAGAGGCAACGGAGACCGCATCCGACATGTTCATCAGGTTACGTTTGGCGCATGCATGAATCACTCAGGCGCGTTCAATGGCGCGCGCGGTATCCTTGCAACGTGCGCGGGCAAACTTCCAAGTGTGACTACTTTACGCTGGCGCGCGCAAACATCAGCAACGCCCAAGGGAAATAACATATCAACCTATGACTCCGTCAGGAGTGCACTTTCACAGTGTTTCAGGATATCGTCGCCTTTTTTTGGGGCGAAGATGAAGAAGCAAATGGATATGGCACCCGGTGAGCCAATCTTTTACTGCGCGGACACGCGCCTAATGGCAAGGCAGTAGTGCATCTGATCGATGCATGCTGCAAGTCAAAGCGCTTGCAGGGGCGTTCCAGCTACTCAGCTGAAACACCTGGCAGCCGCTCGTAATCTCGAGGACCACGTGGACTTAAAGCTGGAGCCCAGCGCCCACTCAACCTAAGAACATTCTGGAGCGCGGTGGTCTCAGCATTGACGCCGTCTCTACCATGGGCGCTGAGTCGGTCTCTAAATCCTTGTCAAGGACTTGAAGAAGCCGACCGAGTGCACCCTGCTGGGACACATCAGTTGGTTCAGACAAATGATGGACCTAGGTATAGTTCATAGTGGGCAGTGGTATGATACACGAGACATGACCGCTGACGGCCATGCCAGGGGGCGCATAGTTCGGAGGGCAATCAGTCCTTCAAGTGCGAAGTTAAATAAGAAGTACATACCCTATCGAGGCAAGAAAGAAACAGCGCCAACATAGGCGTGGATACCAATGAGGACGACTACTCGAACTCAGACAAGTAGTGGCCCTTGCCTAGAAACTGGCATGTAGACCTACAGCGCGGTCATCTTCGCACGGCGGCGGGCATAGACACTCGTAGCCTCGCAGCTACCACGAGCGCCCGGACACGGGCACTCTTCTTTCTTATTTTTGGAGGGGCTCCGACCGTTTGGTCATATCCCCTCGCGCGCTGCGCGTTTTGACGTCCAGCCCGCTACGTGGACTTGCCCGGGACTTTCCACAATCGTCCGCGGCTGGTCGCGGCAATGCGCCACGGCCAGCCCTTATAATCTGCGCTGCCTTATCTGTGCGTTGGTACCGCATGCTGTTAGGGACGTTGACAAAACAACTTCTTATCTTCCTTCTTCACTAGATATACTTAATCATGATTTTGATGTAGCGTTCGGGGTCTCCTCTCCCGACTTTCTACGAGTTTCAAGGAAAGGCGTATAGCGAACGCTATATCCGACGCTGTCTTGGCTCACGACTGCGCAGTCTGATATGCCAGGTGCGCTGCCCTGTGTACCTCTATTTGCGGTTCATAGTAACGGACAAATGCCACTTTTCTATGATCTATCACCCGATATCATGGCTTCTCTCTTACCTCTCGTCTTGCTTGCCATCAGGGGATGAGTTGTGGGATACATCTGTACATCGCCGACGTTATCATGAGAGAAAAGTTTTCAGCTGATTACCTCATGGTCAAGCCCTGCACCCTTGATTTTCATTTAGGGAACAATGGCAAACCCCTCCCCAAAGGGGAAGGAGGGGGTTGGAAGAAAAAGTTCTCTAGACCACTTACGCCCAGAGGGCTGGTGAGATTGGCCCAGGCTGCTCTAAGAAACTTCCGGGAAGCTGGCCCAGATTTCTTAAATGACAGTTTGCTTGATCACATTTCGGCTGTAGCCCTTTCTCCAAGAGGCATGTCTGCAGAGCGTGACCATGTTCCCTGTGGGGCGAAAGGGGACGTGCGTGCTCCTCTCCCGGCCTTGAGAACCAGTGGAAGGCCCGCGGGGAAGCAGCCACGGCAATTGTAAGGAGTGGCTCTCCTAGCAGGCGCGGACGAAGTTTGGCAGGCGGTGGCAGAGAGTGTGTGGCTTCTCTCGAGCTTCGCTACCCGCCAAGAAAACATGCTGCGCAGACGCTCGCACAGCAGCACGGCACCTGAGAACATCATGGATGAAGTTTGGCAGACGGTGGCAGAGAGTGCATCCCTGAGCGACCCACATATCCGTATCCGCGCCCTCGCGGTCTACATTCCGGGGCGCGATCCCGCGGATACACGGTCGCACGGATGCGCTCCGCGCGGGCATCCGCGACAGAAGCGCCCCGTATCAGCGGGGTCGCGGCCCAGGGGGCCAGCCCGCGAGGCCGCGCATACGGATACGTGTTCCGCCCATGATGTGTGGCGTCCTTCGAGTTTCGGCACCCACGAGGATTGGAGCGCCACTGCCGCAAAGAGTGCGGAGAAGAAACTCGCAGACATTGAGATCCACACCGCAGAGGAGGGGGGGGGCTGCGAGAGATGCGGGCCCGAGCGGCGAAGACGAAAGAGGGATTGAGAAAATCACCATGAAGGTAGGGGAGAGAGAACATCAAGGGTCCAGGGGGCATGAGGACTAGAGAATGGGGAACGCACAAATTTTGGGATGACGAAGCACAGAGCACAGGATGAAGCAGGGGGAGGGGTCGTCGACGCAGGAGAGTGCAGCAACACAGATTGTCAATTGGTGAAAGGGGTGACTGAGCTTGACATGTGTGTTCCAGTATTCCGAATGGTTTGCTACTGCTGCGAATGCGCCGTCAAAATATCATCCCTTCTTGTAGGAGCTTCTTGAGCAGATCAACTGCCTGGGGGCCAAGGGCTTGAATACTAAGCTTCAGAAGCTCGGGCACAAGCCATTCATGTCTTGGGCCCAGGCAGCAGGATCCGTGCGAAAGTGACATCATGCATGCCTCTGCACGCGAGATCGCGCACATGTCCCCGCGTCCGAGCTAAGATATTCACGGGCGGTCCGCCACGCGCATGGGTGCACTTGTGTATGGGTTCGAAGGTAAGTGAGTACGCGCATGTATGTCAGCATAGTTAACCGTGATGGGCGGACAAGCCTGGATGTTGGTTGGTGCCAGTTCACGGGACTTGCCACTACGCCTTATTCGTCCGGCATACACATGACGTGTTCAAATAAAGATGTGCAAGTTAAGATGAGTTCATGCATGCACGTATCGGCGCATATGTGTACACGCGCGCGTATAGGGTATGTTAGCAACGCGAAGGCGTTGATGGAAGCGCTCGGACACGGCAATGCAGAATACATTAGTATGCGAAGAATGCGGGGATAATTGCAATTTCTCCACAGTTGTTGCCCCATTCGCAACGACATGTTGGATGTTTATCCCAGGGCCCATGCGCACATGAGCACAACGCATGGCCACATGCATGTGAGGATGCAGAGGGGTACGCACATGATGCACCGCATGCGCACGACGAATCGATCTGCCGGCACCCCATACGCACGATTACAGCTAGGGGTTAAATGGTTGCCATCGTCGCTTCGGTAGTCTTCGTCGTGCTCGCGGCGTCGCCGAAGCTCAGAGGTGGGGGCAGACGGTACCTCGCAGGGGAGCAGGAAGAGGAGAAGGAGGATAGGGCATGGTAGGCATACAGGGAGGTGGACACACAGGGAGGGAGAGGGAGAGGGAGAGGGGCACACAGGATGACGAAGAAGGCACACAGGGAGAGGGAGGGGGGGGGTGATATGGGTGCAAGGGCAGGACTAAAGAGAGAAAGCGTGAGAGAGATGGATCTATATATATATAGAGAGAGAGAGAGAGAGAAAAAAAAAGAGAGAGAGAGAGAGAGATAGAAAAAAACAAAAACCCAGAAAAGCAAACAACATGACGAACAAAACAAGCATTATCTTAGCAAGGGGCACAAACACATGAAGCTACGAGCACCGCGAGGCAAGCGAGAGGGAGGCGGACGAGCAAAATGACTGCTTGACGTGCATATCCTGGCGGGGCGGCGCCATGCGAACATCGCCGCTGGGGACTTCGGCAAGCTCTCTTTATTGGGGCCACGCAGCGCGTGAAGAGTATGCCGCATCGGGGGCGGGCACGCCATGCGGACCCTGGTACTAGGGCCTTCGGTGAAGCCTCCCCTTGTGGGGACACGCAGCGCGTGAGGGGCGTGCCGAATTGGGCGCTGGTACGCCATGCGATTCCTCCTGTTGGAGCGTTCGGTGGAGCTCCCCATGGGGCCGCGCAAAGCGTGAGGTGCAGAAATCAGGCGGCGCCGCCGTGCGGCCTTTGTTGGGGTTCCCTACTGGGCCACGGGACGTGTGAGGGTATGCCGAAATGAGGCGGCGCCACCGTGCGGCCTTCGGCATTTGGGTCTCCGATGGAGCCCCTTGTGGGGCCACGAAACACGTGAGGAGTATGCCGACATGAGGCGGCGCCGCCATGTGGCCTTTGTTAGGCTGCCGATGGTGCCACGAAGCGTATGAGGTCAAGGTCAAGGTCAAGGTCAAGGTCAAGGTCAAGGTCCCGTACGAGCACGAAGCCCGGTCCGATACCGGACGCGGAGTGAAACAATTACAACTCTCTGCTGAGGGCAGGGGCCGAAATACGCACGCAGAGGGCAGGGGAGGAGGAAAGAAGGAGCGACGCGTGGCGCTGTCTCTTCAAAATGAGGGCCCAACACTGCAGGATGGTTGGGCAAAAAAGGAATGCCAGGGAGGAGGAGGGATGAGTTCTGCGAGCAGCAGTGGCGGAAGGCAGGGCGCCGAAGGGCACCAAAAGGCAGAGCGAGATGAGGGATCGGACAGGGGGGAAGGCGAGCGGGCGAGGAGACATCGAAGAACACATTGGAGCGCCCCATGTGGCCGCGAAACGCACGATAGGTGTGCCGAAATGGGCAAAGTCACGCATGCGATTTCTGCCAGAATAGGGCCTTAGGTGGAGCTCCGTAGGAGACCACGTGTGAGGGGTGTGCCGGCATGGGCGCGGTCGCGCATGCGATTTTTGTCACTAGGGTGTTTGGTGGAGTTCCTTGCAAGGTCACGGAGGGTGTGAGGGGTGCGCCACAGTGGGGTGGGTGGCGGCGGCATGCGAACGCAGCCACTGGGGCCTTAGGGGGAGCTCCCAATGGGGCCAGGGAACGTGGGAGAGGTATGCCAACGTGAGGTGGCGGCGGCATGCGAACACAGCCACTGGGGGTCTTAGGTGGCGCTCCCCATGGGGCCACGAAACGTGTGAGAGGTGCGCCAACGTGAGGTGGCGGCGGCATGCGAACGCAACCACTGGGGGTCTTAGGTGGCGCTCCCCATGGGGCCACGAAACGTGTGAGAGGTGCGCCACAGTGCAGTCGCGGCGGCATGCGAACGCCCTATGAGGCCACGAAACGTGTGAGGGGTGCGCGAAAGTGAGGTGGCGGCGGCATGTGAACGCAGCCGCTGGGGTCGTCGGTAAAACTCCTTATGGTGCCACGAAGCGCGTAAAAGGTGCGCCACAGCTGAATGGCGGTGGCATGCGAGCGAAGCAATCGGCGCCTGGAGCTCCCTATGGGGCCATGGAACGTGCTAGAGGTGCGCCAACGTGGGGTGGCGGCGGCATGTGGACGCAGCCACTGGGGCCTCAGGCGAAGCTCCCTATGGGGCTACGAAGCGTGTGAGAGGTGCGCCAACGTGAGGTGGAGGCGGCATGCGAACACAGCCACTGGGGTCTTAGGTGGAGCACCCTATGGGGCCATGAAACGTGGTGCGCCAAAGTGGGGTGGCGGCGGCATGCGAGCGTAGCCACTGGCAACTTCGGTGGAGCTCCCTACGGGGCCACGAAGCGTGTGAGGGGTGCGCCGCAACAGAGACATGCGGAGGGCAGAGGCAAGGGATGGAAGGAGGAGGAGGAGGAGGAGGAGGAGGGCGAGGAGGGAGGGAAATCGCTTGGTGCTGCTGATTCAAAACGAGGGCCCAACTCAACACAGGACGGTTGGGAATAAGCGTAAATGTTCGAAGTTTCTTGCAGATGTCTTGGATCTGCGCTGGGCGCTCCTGGCGGCGCCTCCAGCGCCGCCGCTGGCGCGCTCCGCGCGCCAGGGAGGGGTGGCCCGAGCGCTGATCAAAGAAATCCGCGCGGAGCTCCGCAAGTTATGGTTATGTAGCTGTTGCTCCTCTAAGACGGGAGGAAAATCGGGTATTCGGAGGCCACGGAGATTTCGACCGATGGGGCGAGAGTTGGGATTGGGAAAGGGTATTGGCCGGCAGGCGCAACGGGTAGGAAGTCGCGGGTGACCCAGCAGAAGTGGCGAGGGCAGTGGCAATGCAGGACGCTTGCAAGGAGAAAGCATTCCTGAACTAAGGTCCGACACGATAAGAGATGTACAGAAGCATTTGGCTCAGCGGTATAGTTCGCCAGCGGCCTAAATGGGGTTCTCGCCGCGTCTTGCATTCGGCTTTGCGTTCTTGTTGATGCTCTCCCTCTCTCTCTCTCTCTTTCTCTCTCTCTCTCTCTCTCTCTTGCGCTCGCCTGTGTTCTTGCACGCCTGGCACGGGATTCGAGCCGCCCGAGCATTTTTGGTTTGGCACTGGCATGGTGGCGTGGCTTCCACATTCAGTTCGGGCATGCGATGACGAGCTATGTTTGTCCAGGAGGGGCTCAGGGTTCACGTGTGTTTGCATTTGAAGCTGAAGTTATCATATAGTCCTTCTCATGCACATCCTTCTCGTCCTCCTCCTCCCCCTCCTCGTCCTCCTACTCATCATCATCACCCTCCTCAGCATCAGCATTATCATCATCAGCATTATCAGTATCATCATCATCAGCATCATCATCACCACCATCACCTTCATCATCATCATCATCATCATCATCATCACCATCATCACCACCATCATCATCCTCATCATCATCATCATCACCACCAGCATCATCACCATCGTCAGCATCATCCTCATCATCACCGCAATCCTCCTCATCATCATCATCATCACCCCTCCCAGGTGCCCGCTCGAAGTAGTTCCACACGCACGTCCGAGCCTGTGCATGTGACACACGCGCGATGCGTGTAGTGTTTGCTTTTTTTGAACAAGTCACAAAGAGCGCAGAGTAGTCGCAGTCACCAGGCGAGGAGGCGGAGGGAGGGGGAAGGGCCACGGGAGAAATCCTCTGGAGCTTTCCGGAGCTCTCCCGAGCTCCCCGAGGAGGTCCCCGTGGAGGTCTCCGCGGAGGCCTCCGCGGAGGCCTCCGCGGAGGCCCCTTCCCAAGACTCCCGACGTCGTGATTTTACGATAACGTGGACTCCCCGAGGTCTCGACCCATTCCCCAGGAACGGCTTTTCATCCCGAGTCGGTCTGTTGACGGCTCCCAGGCCGTGCAAATGTCCCAGGAGGCCGAGAATGGCAAAGGACCTTCCGTCGTGATTTCTTCCTGACTCGAGGGGGTCTGGGTCCGAAGGCCCCCTCCGACGGCCCCCGCGGAGGCTTCCAGGGAGGCCTCCAGAGGAATGCTGGGCATCGCGCGCGCGGCGGGCCGTAGTTGCCCGAGCGGGCTGCGCCAGCAGAGGGCGGGCGCTTGGCCCCCCCGCTGCCCAGCGCGCGGCCTATGGCGGCCCGGGGGGCGCCAGAGGCTCGTGCCGCAGCTGTTGCCACTGCGCCTGCCGAGGGGGGCGCTGTGCCTCCTCCTCCTCCTACATCCTCCTCCTCCTCCTCCTCCTCCTCCTCCTCCTCCTCCTTCTCCTCCTACATCCTCCTCCTCCTCCTCCTCCTCCTCCTCCTCCTCCTCCTCCTCCTCGCCCTCCTCCTCTCTCCTCCTCCGCCTCCGCCTCTGCCTCCGCCTCCTCCTCCTCATCCTTCTCTTGTTCCTCCTTCTCCTCGTCATCACCCTCACCATTATCATCACCATCATCAGCACCACCATTGTCATCATCATGACCATCATCATCCCCATCCTCATCCTACATCGTATTCTCCTCATCGTCATGATCACCATCCTCGTCCTCATCATCTACATCACCATCAACATCAACACCAGCATGAACATTTCATGATCATGTTATGTATCAGCATCATTGTCGTTATCGCTATCATCGTTTCACCACGAGCATCAGCATCAGCATTACTGACACCATCACCATCATCAACAACAACAAAGCAATAACAGCAACATCACCACAGTAGGTTGCCACTTGAACTCAGACCTGGTTTGGCGCGGGGATCAGCTCCCCGCGAAGATCTTGGCTGCGCGCGCCCCTGGCATGCCCTGTGTGCGCAGGCGCCCTCGAGCATCCTGACGCGGTGTCGCAGGGGCGGCGTTCTCGGTTTCGCGCTCGGCTACGTCTACTACGTCTTCAACATGTTGGAGGAGCCGCTGTGTCGCCCCGCGTGCGCGACTTCGGCTAGCCGCCGCTGCGCGCGGGCGCGCCACACAGCGGTCCGCAAGGCCCAAGCGGCATAAGCTTCGGTTGAGCTGGCCACTCGTTTGATGCCCTGCTGGCCGCAGGCCGGCCTGAACGGTGTCTTGCTGGTGCCGAGGCCGAAGGAAGTCAAAGAGCGGCTTCGTGGCCACGAGTAGATTTTTGCGGGCCACCCCTCGCATTTTCTGGCGGCGCCCTCACTGCCCCAGGGGCTCGCGCTCCAAGACGCAGCGGTGCCCGCGTCGCCTCACGGTCAGTCCATTTTCTCCGAGAGAGCTGGACCACCGCTGCGTGCCCATTGACTGCAGCGACGTGTCGCTCGTGTGCGTTTGCCAGCGATGCGGTTGCTACGCATCAGGTGAGCGGCGTGCCAAGCTTGGCAAGAAGTGCGAGCCCCTCGCGGAGCCGCGCCAGAGTGCGATCTGGAGGATGCTCGGCAGGGGGCTCCCAGGGATGGGGCCACAGTCGACCCCTCCACTTGTCTTGCTCCTTGTAACTGCGCCTTTGGCCGAGGACGTCAAAGAAACCGATGCCAGTCGCTCGCAACGTTAGGCTGAGCGGAGGAACTGTTGTAAGGGCGGCCGAGACTGGGTGTTTGATATTGCTGAGGCTAGCTCATTTGAAATGGCTAGCCTGCGCTGCCATTGCGGTGTTTGGTTGGCCTGCCGCATGCACTTCGAAACAGCCCCCCTCCCCGCTCCACCTCCGTGGATCTCCCACCTCGCACCGGTCCCCACGTAGCCAGATGCCAAGAAAATGGCTGGCCAAGTGGTCGGCGCGCATGCTGTCAGCGCGTCGCTGCAGCCAGCGAGAGTAGAGGCGAGTCCAGCAGCGAGAGGTAAAGCATGCATGGCAAGCGAACATAGGCGAAAGCAAGCAGATGGAGTGGAGGAACACAGGTGGACCCCCGCAGCTGAAGGGGGCACAAGTCGACTGAGACAGAAGCTAAGCGCAAGCAAAGCGCATCAGGATAGGAGTGGCTAGTCAGAAGTGCCCGCCCTGGCGGTCACTGATGTTTTTAGAGCCGCTAGCGCGGGAGATGCGAGGTCGTAGGCTACCCCGAGTAATCTCCACATCTGCGCATAGATAGGAGTTTGTCCCATTGGAAACGGATGCACTGGTGGACATATAGGCTCAAGACATCTAGGATCATCGCTCGTAGTCTCTTTCGCCCGCCCTGTCTGTCGACTCATCGCGTGCGCGCGCGGGCTGGGGGGGCCCGCCATGGCGCCGGGCCCCCGGGGTGTCTGTTGGCTCGTTCCCTGGATTGTCTTGGCCGTCGCAGCCCTGGTGGGGGGCTGCTCGCGAGGCGGGGCGGCCGGTGCCCGAGTGCGTTGCGGGCCCGCAGCGGGGCGGGGTCTGCCGGCGACGGATTCGGGCGCGGCGCCGGGGGCAAGTCCGCAAGCATGCCCAGGCTCGTCAGCGTTATCGTGCTCCGTTCTTGAACGGTGGTGCCGACGTCGGAAGCCCCTTGGCGACGACGCGGCGCCCTGGGCCCGAGGCTATCCGTCGGGGCGCGCTCGTTGTCCTGCAAGACAAGTGGGAAGATCATCGCGGGCCATTGCCCCATGCCGCACGGGCACTTCTTTGGGGAATTATTGCGGACTGTGCCCGCTCGGGGATGGGGCCTCTGCGCGCCGTTGTCTAGACCGGCTTTCGTTGGGGCGGGGGCCTTGGCATTCAGCTTCGTCGCGCAGGGGGGGCGGTCCGCGTGTCCGCGCCGCGCTTCTGCATGGGCGCCTATGGATGGGGGCGCCTGGCCAAAGCTAGTCTGGTTCTTGGCTTTGTCGCGCAGGGGCGGGCGGCCTTCGGGGCCGCGCCCGGCCCGCCCCTGCGGGGTGCCGGGTGGGGGCATCGAGGAGAGCGAGTGGGGGGGGCCCCCTACCGCGGCCCGGCGGCGCCCAGCGCGCCTCTGGGAGCGAGCGAGCTGCGCGACAGAGGGGCCGCAGCCGGCAACGCGGCGCATCGTCGCCCCCATTGGGCCGCCGCGCGGGGGCTGGGGCGGCCGGCGCTGGAGGCGGGGCGGGGCCGGTCCCTCCTGAAGGTCTGGGCCAGCAGCTTAGCGGCGCGGCGGAGGGGCTGCGGCGCGGCGCTCGCAGGTTGGACTTCAACGAGGCGACGCCGGCGGCGCGGAGGCACTAGCGCCCAGTGCCAGGGCGCCCGCGCGCGGGCCCGGCATCTTCGCCAGGCTGGGCTTCATTCGCGGCCCCGCGGCCCCGCATGCGCGGGCGCGCATCTGGCCAGCTTCGGGGCGACATCATCCGAGTTCTTGTCCAGCCGCGGCCGGCCGCGGGGCGGGGTCTGCAGTCGAGCGCCGGCTCGACGATTCGGGCGGGCTGCAGCCAATGCGCCGCCCCGAGCGCGCGGCGGTCGCGCGGGCCGGCGGCAGCGGGCGCGCCGCTCCAGAGGACTTCCCACCCACCGACAACATTTTCGCAGAACCGACTTCGATTGAGGAAACACGCGCCCATCGGCGCCCGCGAGCTTCGGGGGCAGTGCTTGGCAAGAGTTGCAGCTGGGGTTGCCCAGCACGGGCGCGAACGGGCTCGGCTGGGGCCCCCGATGCCCCCGAGGGCGGCCTTGCGGACAGCGGCGACGGGGGAAAAACCAGAGGATGTGCGAATGCGAGACCGAGAAATTACGCCGCGCTTGGCTGGAGGGGCGCAGGGTTCGCCGCGGCGGCCAGCTCGGAGAGGGGCGGGCGCTGGGGGCCGAACGGAGCGCGTGGGGGCGGGGAAAAGGTGGAGCTGCCGAACGAATCTCCGACGCAGAAAGCCTACACCGCAATCGCCAAACGGCCCCCCGCTAAAATAAAACGGCGCCCGCCATCGCGCAAGAGATGCGAGATAAGCGCCCGCGGGCCCGGGGCAACGACGCTGCGAAGATAGCACTTTTGAGGCCCGTCCACGCAGCGGCGGCAGTTCAGGTGGGCGGCGACACGGCGGCCAAAGCCGCTCGGAGCTTCTCGCGCGGCGCCGCGGGGGGGCCCGTCGGGACTCTGCCCGCGGTGCGTCATGGGCGCCTTGGTGCCGGGGTGGACAGGCGAGGTGCAGCGGGAGCTCGCAGTCGCGGTGAACGCTCTGTCTCGAGGCGAAGCCCTTCAGAACATTCAGCCCAAGCTCTGCGGCGCGGCCTTGTCGGCTTTACCCGAGCCCGGCGGGGTCAAGCGGCCGGCGGCGGCTGGCGAGGCGAGCCGCCGCGTCGCGGGCAAGCGCTTGTCTGGGCGCCCGACATGGGCACCGAAAGAATGGGTACAATGCCCAACAGCAGTTCCTGTTCATTCTGAACAGGACTCGCCGTCCGCGCCGCCGCGGCCTGCGCCCATTCGAGACAGAAGGCCGCCGGCCAAACAGCGGCTGCAGATGGTTTGGGACAACATTTGTTGTTGGGCATTGTACCCATTCTTTCGGTACCTATTTCGGGCGTCCAAAGCTTGGCCTCGGACCCCAGAGAAGATGTAGCCGAGGTGTTTGGCGCCTCCAAGCCGGGCGTCGTCGCCAAGCTGGGGTGCGGGTCGACCTTTACACCGCCCAGGCTCGGTCGTCACGGAATTCGACCTGTTCCCACGAGTGCCTCGTCGTGCTCGACCTCAGCAACGCATTCGACGCAGTCGACAGGTCGGCAGCGTTGGCCGCGACCTGGAGATGGCCCCCATCCTGGGCACCGCGGGCGGATTTGTGTCACCGAAACAGCAGCACGCCGCGGTTGGGGGGCGAGTGGCCCCGCGCCAGAGGCGTTCAGCAGGGTGGCCTCTTGGGCCCGGCGCTTTTCAGTTCCGCAATCCATGAACGCGCTTTGGCTTCCCGAGCGGCAGTTGATTCCCTATTCCCGGGCGAACTAGAGCTGTGCGCGTTGTATTTGGGCGATGGCGCGGCAGGCGGGACAGACCGGGCTGCGTCGGAATTCTGCAGCCAGCTCGAACGCCGCCTGGCCAGGATTGGCTTGGAGTTGACCCCGTCGAAGTGCGAGGTCGCCCCGGCCGCTCGCGAGCACCAGTTGTCCAGCGAGGCGCCCCCTGACTTCGGGCGGCGCGCGGGCGGCAATGTCATGCTGTTTGGCGCGGCCGTCGGCGCGGAGTCCTTCTGCGCGTCGCGCGCGCTCGCGCGGGAGCGAAGGGCGGCCGACTTGCCCGCCCAGGTGCAGGACGCATGGAGCACTGCCGGGGCGGCTTTCTTTTGATGCGGGCCTGCGCGAGCTTCTGCAAGCTCGCGTGCTCGGCCAGGGCGGCCCCTCCCCGCCTCCACCAAGAAGACTTGCGTCCATCTGCGCTGGCCCTCCGCAGTAGCTTGGAGATGCTGGCGGAAGCGGAACTCCTTGGCCACGCTTGGACGCAGGCGCAGTTGAGCATCCTGAGCGGTGGCCTCGGGCTCCGGGGCGCGGCGCTGCATGCCCCTGCGGCTTGCGTTTCGCGTGCGCGGCCCTGCCGATGCCTCTGCGAGCGCGTCGGCCCTGGCTTCGGCATCATGCTGACGGGGGCCACCTCGCGGCGGCGCGCGCAGCCCCGATGGGGGGGCCGCTTGGAAGCGGCCAGCCTGAACCTACCAGAGGGCGCCGTCAAGCAGAAGGACCTGTCGGCCCTGATTGACGTCGCGCTCAGGGCCGCGCTCAGGGGCGACGGCAGCGGCGGAACGTTCGCGCCTCGCCCGCCGCTCCACGGTCTGGCTGCCAGGTGCTGGGGTTTGGCTGACAACCTCCCTCCCTCGTCGACGACGGGGGGGGAATCGAACCGGCGCCGTTCGAGGTCGCCCTCAGGAGGCGCTCGCCGCTGCGCGCGGCCCCGGCGGACGTTTGCTGCCCCTGCTGCGGAGAGGTGCTCAAATCCACTGGGGTCGCGCATTGGCGCGCTTCTGCGCGGGGGGGCGCGCCGCGCGGCGCAATGCCATTTGAGGCGCGGTTTTCGAAGAAGCTCCCCTGGCGGGAAGCGCGGCCGCGCGAGAGAAGGCGGGCCTCTTGCCGGCCAGGCCCGCCGAAGACGGCATCGGCACCGCGGAGTGCCCGCGCAGGCCTGCGGACATCTGGCTGCCGCGTGTTCCGGGTGCTTCAGGCAAGGCTTTCGACTTCGCATGGACTTCCTGGAGAGGTCTGCCGTAGACGGCGGGGCGGTCTTCCCAGCTTACGAGCACTTCAAGCGCTCGCTCAACGACGCGGCTCGACCGCCGGATTCAAGCTCACGCCCACGATCTTGGAGTTTCATGGTGGTGGTTGGAGCCCCATTGGCCCGCGGCGTCCTCGACAGGTTCGCGAAGGCCCAGTCGGCGGCATGGCGCGATAGACAGGAGCCGGCCTCGCTCCGGATCGCCCGGCGCACATCGTGCACCCTGCGAAGGGGGAACGCGCGGGCGGCCCAGCGGAGGCTGGTGCCTCCGACCACGCTTCCTGTCATCAGTGGATGGGGTGCGCATGGGCTGTAGGGCGCGGTGTAAGCACATGAGTGCTTTGCAATGCGCGTGCCCTGCTCAGTTCCCATATGCCCTCTACATTTGTCCTGGTGCGCTGGCGCACTGGCGCACCTCTCGGCCCGCCTCCCCTTGCCTTCGCCCGGCCCCCGGCCCCTCCTCCGCTGTCGCCCCCCCCCCCCCCCTCTTTACCTCTCTATGGCATTCGCTTGCCGTTATGTTTCCTTGCCATTGTTCGCTGCGCGCTCTCCTCCCCTCTCCCCTCCCAGAGCGAGCTGAGGGGCGTGGGGGGCGGGGGCGAGCGCGCGCCCGCGGCCGCGTCGGCTGCGAGGCGCACAATCGCTATCGAGACCAAAAGGATCTTCCTGCCGCTTGAGATGGCACGTCCTCTCCTATTGGGACTATCGTTACTACGGCACTACAGAGCGGGAGCTTGGCTTCGCCTAAGGCGAAGCTGCTGGCTGGGCCCCGCAGCCCCCTTCAAGCTTGGTAGCGGAGCTGGCCTATGGTGGCCAGCTTTTGCTTTGCTCCCCACCATCCACGGCACTATCTGGTGGACTACGGACATGGTGGAACATCAGGGTGCAGTGGGTTTGCGCGGAGGAATGTACATAACTACGCAGTGCCTCAAGGACACTTGCAGCGATACCTCTTTCCAAGCGGAGGTCTCTTACCTACATCTTACCTCCCGGCGCCGCTGCACCCCTGAAGTCCACGCACCTACTCCAAGTGGACATTTCTTCGAAGATATAATGCATGGAAACGTGCGATGCGAAATGCTGCCGCCTCCGACCCCACGCAGACTCACGACTGAACGACAGAAGTCCCAACCGACTACATCCGACTACGACCTACGAGGCCATTGGATTGGCATTGCTATCTTTGGGCTCGCATGGGTCGCTATTGGGCGCGCGGTAGGACATATGCGCGGCGGAGACGACGCGAGAACGACCGGCCCTCATTGGGGCCCTGTCGGTCAAGTACCTTTTCGCGAATTCGTCCGCGAAGTACATGCCTGGATCAATGTGACCACAGGCAATATGGCACCCCCCCATCAGGCTGCAGCTCTGCAGCGAGGTTTGGGAGGTCTCGCAGGGACCATAGCCCTGAGAGCCCCTCCAGCAGTTAATCATTTTGGCGTCAACATAGGCGGCCGCCACACCGACGGCGCCACCTACATCATGCTCCTCTTAAGCGCGAAGTTCGAGAACTTAGAAGAGGAGCGCCAACTCAACTTTGGTACGGCTCTCATTGACTTTCGAGCCCATGCGGGTGAGCGTATCGACCAGACGTTAGCACGGTTTGAGATAGCCCGCTACGAAGCTGAAACAGCCGGCTTCAACATCCCCAACTTCCAAATCCTAACAGCGATTATATTCAGAGCCCTTGGAGTGGGAACATCGCGTGCACAACAGCTCCTACAGCCTCTGAACCACCATGTGCCCAGAGACCAACAACAATTTGACGCTTTACTTGAACGCATGAGGTTATATGCTCACGTTGCTGAGAGAACCCCCGCAATGTTGGTGGCATCTTTAGTCGCGGCCACCGAACCGAGACCTTCCACGTGGAAGCCAACGCAGGGCAACCTGCCACCAACGTCTGGAATGATGCTCCACAATCAACTGAGACCACTACATTGCTGGCTCAGAATGGTGGAACGGCCTCGGGGCCGCAAGACTCCTGCGCCAGACCTAGGGGATCGCTCGACGCGGTCTCCCCCATGCAAGCAATGACCCGAATGGGCTCAGCGGGGCAACCCGCCGAGTCCGACTGATTCCGGTACCGATACGGATACGTCTTCAGATGACGAAGCTACCGCCCTGGATTACTCTGATATGCCTACATACCTTACTGAAGAGCAACAAGCTCAATGCTCATTTTTAGGTTATCAAATACACAAGCGTCGCTGGCGGAGATTCATGAAGAAACCAGTCCGACAAGCAAGGCGTATTGTACAACGATCACTGATAGGAAAAAAGGCAAGGGTCGAAGTAAAGGCAAAGGCAAGCGTCGGCGATTACATGTCAGAGGCATACTCGAATTCTTAGCGTCTCTTCTTATACCTCAACATGAAGAAACATTTTTAGGCGCTGGCAGACACCGCAGGCATGCATCAGGCAAAGGTCAGGGACGGCGGGGAAACCCAAAGGATGCCAACGGTAAAACTATGGTGTGCGACATATGCCACAGTACACAACATTTCCGACGCGAAGGCCCCCAAGGTGATGGAAGAGGCAGGGGTCCGTCAATACATCTGGCTCAAACAGAATCCGACATGCAGTATGTTGATTGGGAGTCACTTGTAGCCGGCCCTGCCGATAGCTCAGCCACAATTGTTTACTTCATGGCTGCCAGATATCTAAGTGCCAGTATGACCCTCGAGGATTACGCCGACGAGCTGTTCGAGGAGGTGTTCGCTGGCCACAATGATTTCGATTTGGCAGAATGGCTTGGTATAGCCATCGCGGGGCAACCTTCAGATAATGAGTTTGTCGAGGAATTCCACATGCCCGCCGAAGGAGATTTTGGCATGGCGGGGGCACCCGCGGACTCAGAATCTACCATTCCTGCAACAGATGAAGAAATACATGCGATGCTCTATCCTCGGGTGCTTGGAAATCCGACAGACATGGAATTCATCGATGGTGATCCTCTGCGGGGAAGCCTGCGAGACGCTGGTGATCTATCTGAGCTTATTCAGTATGAGCCTGGTCACAATGAAGACTTTCAATGCACTTTTGTTGTTTCAGATCGATCCATGAGCCGCCGGAAGCGATCGCCAAGCCGCCCAGACTGGAGGGAGAAGAATTATCGCGACGATGACGAGGACGAAGAACGGGAAGACAGTGACCGCATGATACGTCGCGGTCGGGTTCCCGGTCGCGCACCAGATCGTACGCGTGCCCGCTCCAGTGCTCGTTCTAGCAGTCTTCAGCGTCGCCCCGCCATGGCAAGCTAATAGACCGGCCGCTTCCCCAAGGGGGGGGGCGCCTGCGGGGGCACCCGGCTCAAGATGATCAGCCGCGAGGAGAAGAATAGGTAGCATACAGCGTCTTAACGGCTGCACGGAAGCTGGATTGGCTCGTCAGTACATGCCCTCAGGTCAGATGCAATACTGGTTGAATCAGGGTTGGAGCGAACATCAAATCCGGCACTGGCATTCTCTTCGCAAGGTCAAACGAGATGAGGCAGGCAAGACCATGCGCTCGACGAGGGCAGGACCTACCAAATCACAGGATAAGATTTTCACGCGCAACGTCAGGAGGACTATCATCGTGGAACGGAAGCTCTACCGAAACGTATGTTGCTCATGCCCCGAATATGCTGACCACAGGCTTGGTTGCCCCATGAGACGTCCATCAAGAAGCCCGAAATGTAAAAGAACATCGTGGGTTTGGTATCATGGTGATGGTCGGGGTCACTGTACCGATCCCAATGCAACGCCATATAATGAGCAGCTGACGGAGAGCGACTACGACCACGCCACAGCTGACGAAATAGCCCGCGCAAGCCTCGCTTGGAAGATCCTGACGCCCACTCACTATTTGGCGCAGTTCAATCGCGATTGGCACGCAGGGAAACCTGCTGATCACAAAGCAGAGAAAGAAGACCAGCGAGAAGCTGATGAAGATGAATATGATGAGATGACTGAAGAAAAGAGAAGTTGGTCCTGCGGACGCTGCCCCTAAAGGGCGCGCGTCAAGCGATTCGAGTATTACGGGCGTTACGTGTCAGACGGATTCCCCGATCGACCCCAAGTACGTTGTCACAGAAGATATGGGACGACCCCCTGAGACGCGGATTGCTTGCCGTGCTAAAAGTGCGGGCTGGATAAAGACAAGCATAGTCGAAAAACGAAACGCCACGACCTACCTCCTTTCAGGTAAGCACAAGACCATTATTAAGAACATGGCGCTCCGGACGCCAGATGATGTCGATTTGAATCCTGACCGAGGTCCCATGCGTCATGTACCAGGGGCGCCGGCAGGGGCCACGGCTAAGGCAACTCTTAAGCCAAAGCCAGAGGCCAATCGATTTCCCCCCATCTTCTGACTCATCAAGCCCATCTTTTGGCCCCGATCAGTTCAGACCTAAGAGAAAGAAGAGGAAGAGCCCAGATGATCCTAACCCTGGGGACAGCAAACAGCAGCGATGTGCGGGGCAACCTGCTGATCGACAACGATCCAGAGGACCAGCAGCGGCTGCCGCAGCAGCTGCATTTCAGGGCACCAGTACCCCTACTCCAAAGGAGCCGGTGGCACGTCGCGGTCCGACACCAGGTCGGACGCACAGGACAGGATGGGCGCCCGCGCTGGAAGGACGGACAAGGGATGCTTCCTCTACGAAACGTGGTACTGAAAAGCTACTGGCCACCTCGTCGAAGTCGCCAGGAATGTCTCCCAGAGATAAGACAGTCGAGTCTTATAGCATCAAGGAAAAGACACGTCAGGACTTCGACATCAGCACCCCGACAGGAACTCCACGGACGCCCAGGGGAACTGCTGGCGCTGCCATATCGGCGGCGAGCACATCAGCACCTGCCGCACCAGTGGCAGCCCCACGTTCCGCGGGGCAACCTGCTCAGAGCTCCGCGGGGCAACCTGCTCAGAGCTCAGCGGGGCAACCTGCCCTCACTTTGGAGGTGCCAGTGGAATGCCGAGGGTACTGGGACAGGCTACGCACGACCAACCGCACGAATATCAACCCAGCATATCACCGCCAGATCGACGACGGGTCTGATCGATACA